GTCGCATTGTAGCTGACTAGTGGCCCTCATGTGAGCATTCCCAGTATTTAAGACAGCGGTAGAAGAAGATGAGACGCTAAGAAGTAGATTGTCAAGGTGTCTTTTGAGTTTAGTTTCACTTGTTGCATGACTCTACGCTGTATGGTATCGGGAAAGGCTTTCAGAAGATTCAATACGACTTTTTATGCGGCTCAGTATATCACGTGACAATGGGATAGTTCGCAAACCAATGACCATACTGTAACGTGATCCCTCTTTTCAAAGAATCCCTCTTTTCAATTTTTGCATTTGCACACTTTACACAATACCTTACACTACCAAAAAATTCAATGAGGTATATTTGTACTATAGAAAATATATTGTGTCTTTTTTTCTGTAAAAAAATTGATGAAAAAATTAAAAAATGGTAAATACTACTTTTTCCAATGGTAGCTTCAATTGTAATTAGCTCTATTAATTTTATTAGTAGATTTATTGTTACAATTAGGCTTCTTATGTTTTCTATACATGCATAAGTGTTCTTATTATAATTTGTGAGTAGTATGCTGATTGTTGTGAATTAAAATTGTAGAAAGATTGGTTGAGAGTGACAAAAGCGTGACAATTGTGCTAAAGTATTATAGCAACATAGTGTGTTCACAAAGCTTACACGCGTCAAATCATTGTGACAACTTGTGACAAAAATTGAAAAGAGGGATCCTCTCCCTTCCTGCCTCAAAAAAAATCGTAAAAATTTTTTTGAAAAGAGGAGCATGTTTATAATATATAGATATACATATGTACAAATTTTACAGTTAAAATAATGTGTGGTTGTGGCTGTAGAAAAAAATTGAAAAGAGGGATCATGTTACAGTATCATGTGAAAGCGAATCGAGCGATAACTAGAACATTAATCTCGTGCACCAGAATTCCTTGCTGCTATACGATGCTGCGCCATAATAAGTGACAGACTCTGGTTTAATACTTTTACATAATGATCAAATCCATGACCTTCCGGATCGCATCACGATGAACATTCCTCCTCAGCTGGAGTCACTGTGGAGTGTGCTCGCCTCTTCTGGAGTAAACATTAACACGACGCACAAGTCTCATATACGTTGCTGGTCGAGCTATCGCAGTTGATACACGCCTGTTGTATTGGGTTGAGGTGATGATTCTCTTGCAAAAGATATCGCTGGTCCAATACACCTTTATGCCGTGAATTGTGTCTCGGTGAGTGCATGGACACTCCATTTTTTCTTCTGAAGTCTATGTTATTCTTCGAATAGCTACACATCGTTGACGTCCTAGCATTCCTCACAGATGCACGCGGAATATTTACTCGATCCGCGTGAACTATTTCGCAATATTTATGTATCTATATTTTCCTTTGCTGTCGACACGCATGACGGGTTACACGAAGCCTGAATCAGTTGTTGTACACAGGGAGTAACAGGCTTGAAGCGACAGTCATCACTCTCGGAGCTCGTGGGTCAGACATGCACATCCGATCCGTTATTTCACTTCCTGACGGGACCCGCCTTGCCTCCACCTCTGAGGATGGAACTTTCCGAACCAGGGATGCTGAACGTGGACAAGTCATTTCAGACCCATTTGAAGGGTATGGTCGGACATTTCTGTGCATCTTCAATGATACACGAACTGTGTCCTTTTGGTTGGGAAAGGTGTCACTTCTGGGCCGGCTAACAGGACCGCTATGGCCTTGGAGCTTAAAAGCGGACATACCATTTCCATGTATTTTGTTGGGCATGAAAGCAAAGTGAATCCTGTTGCTTTCTCACCCGATGTAGTGTGGATAGTTTCTGGCCCTGACGACTGTACAACTCGACTACGAGACATTCAGGATGGGCAGACTATTTATTGATCTCCAGACGGTCATGCAACTCACGTCTGGCCGATCGCATTCTGTTGTGATATTACACGTCTAGTTTCAGGCTCGAAAGACCAAGCGATCCGAATCTGGGATACTCAAAGTGGGCAATGTGTTTCTCAACCTCTCGAAGGACTTACGGATGATGTGACTTCCGTCGCCTTCTCGCGAGACGGGAAACACATCGTCTCTGGTCCTGATGACAGATCTGTTCGAATCTGGCATGTCAAAGCTGGGTAGGTCATTTCTGGGCCCTTTGGAGGACATACTGGTGGTATAGAGACTGTCGCATTCTCTCCTGACGGTAGCCGCGTCGTCTCAGGCTTCGCCGACCGTACAACCGAATTTGGGACGGCGAAAATGAAAAGACTGTTTCTGAGCATATTGCAACGGGCATGCGGGCGGGATAACTTCTGTTGTTCTCTTTCCTGGTAGGATCCGCATGGCCTCAGGCTCCGGCGATAAAACGTTTCGAATCTGGGACGCTAACAAAGGATGTGCTGTTTCTGTACCTTTCGGAGGACACTCAGGGACAGTGATCTCTGTTGCCTTCTCGCCGCACGGAATGCATGTTGCATCTGGCTCCCTGGACCATACGATCTGAGCCTGGGACGCTGAAAGCAGAGAGACAATTCCCAAACCTCTTGAACGGCACGAAGGCTGGGTCAGGTCTGTCTCTTTCTCCCCGGACGGGGCGCGTGTTGTGTCTGGCTCCACTGACCAAACACTGCAAATATGGAGTGTTGAGAGTGGCTAGATGGTTTCCTGTCCATGTGTGCGGCATACGGACGGAGTCAGTTCATTTACTTTCTTGCCTGATAGGAGGCGCATAGTCCTTGGCTTAGCGACGAAACAGTCTTACTCTGGGAAACTGAAAGCGGAGATGCCATTACTGAGTCCTTAAGAGGTCATACTGCTCGGGTTCCTTTCTCGCCCGATGGTGCACGTGTTACCTTTGGTTCTGATGATACAATCATCCAGAACTGTGATGTCGAGAACGGATGTGTCTTGGCTGGGACCTTCGAAAGCCATACGGGCCGGGTTATGTTGGTTGCTTTCTTCCCGGAAGGAGCACGCATCGTCTCTGCCTGTATCGATAAGACGACCCACATCTGGGACGCCATGAGTGGACAGGCCGTCTTTGCTCCTTTTGAAGGGCATACAACAGATGTCATGTCTATCGCATTCTTGCCTGACGGGGACGCATCGTCTCTGACTCTCTGGGTAGTGCAATTAGAACATGGGACGTAGAAGGTTGCTCCCTCTCTTACTTTGTAATCTATGGTTGACATCCTTTCTCTTGCTTTTACTCTTGGGGCAGGTCTTGTATTCGAACAGTCATGGGTGAGGATGGATAGATATGTGAACGCAAAGGAGAACTGCTTGTGCAGATTCTGCCTGATATCTGACCCGTGCCTTGGCGTCCTCGGAATACAGCAGTATTCAATTGCCGATTCTCGACTGCCTTCCTTTCGTCTTTCATCTTCCTTTTCACATCTGCATTCATATTACAAACCAAAGCTGAGCAATGACGTCGATAATACACATTACAATCTTGTATTTGATAAATCTGATATATTCTAATAATATAAAAGCTAATCAAGACTTGATACATTTTCCTGATATACTGGAATGCGGTGACAGGAACCAACACAATTAATCCCCATGAGATTGATGGGAGGATTGATGGTGGAAAGGAAAGTGAAACTCCTTTGAATCAAAGTATCAGTCTGCAGTACATAAAAGAGCCAGGCCTTCCATTGCCACCAAGTATACTCACTTCTTCTGACAAACCAGACTCTTAACTATGAGCATGTCCACATTCTCAACACCGACCCTGCAGCCATACTTGTCTCCGATTTTTACACTTTGACATACTTTTATGCAGCAACATTGACTGTCCTTGTCTATCATGCTTGTGTGTACTAAAATTTCTCTAACCACTACCCTTCTGATATGTATGACAATATAGTAACAACAATGGACAAGGAGGTATGCCTCTATACACTATTCCAGGGTATATGCTGACGCGTACAAACCAGGTGAAGTACTTTTGGGTGAGCTCAGTTCTCAGTTCTCAAACCTGATATCTTAATGACATCAATCAAGCAAAAGCCACACAACTATATAAGTCTGATTTACTTTTTAGTAAGCATTAATGCTGTCTAGCCATTGTATAAACGTGTTGATTGCAATTGTGAGAGGTTAGAATCGCATTATTGGACTCCTTGGAGCAATTAGTAATATGGCATGTAAGCAAGATGTTTGCATGTTGCTAAAAATCTTGTACAAATTGATTCATTTGATATTTTGCTATAGTGTACAGTTTTAATATGAATGTTCTCAGGTACAGAGCACATAGTATTACAAATTTGTGTACTGACATTGTATTAATGCATTACTAACAGCTGTAACATCACGAAAAAGTCGCAACAAATGTATTTAATAATAGCAAAAGTAATCTAATAAAATGATTTCATAAGCATTACATTTTAAAATAATACTTATATTTTACTTGTAATGTAATTATAATGATTGTATATAAATGTAAGAAATATACAAAGTTTCTATTAAACTACAAACATGTTTTAGAGCAAATAAGCTTACTAATGGTATTATTACAACATTACATGTGAGGTACAAGTACTCAACTCTTATTGTAATCTGTTAAAATTATATTATAAGTTATTTGTAACAATAGTTGATTAATTATAATAGTCATAAAAGTAATACATTGTACTTGTAAGTTAATTACAATACTTTTAGTACAATAATATGTAATTATATATATTAATATTGTTAACAATCACCCTGTTAGGCTTATAATATAATTTAGTTTTCTATTAAACTATATATCGAAGTGCTTACATAATCAAATACCGAAGATCGAGAGCATATAATGACGCACTTGCTCTCGTCACTCCTTTCCTCCTACCTCCACTATCTCCCCCAACCCTCTTCCCCCAACACTATGTTGTTGCTTTTGTCCTCTCCAGTCCAGTCCTCTGCCTACAAGCGTCCTCCAGCAGGCACACTGCCTGCAACCACCTAGACAATAAACATCGCTGTATTGTCTCTCCAATCTGCTGTTGCGATGCCCGTGCTGAGCCTCAGATCCTGTGACGACACGACCCAGCTGGCTACACCGTCCTTCAGTGTAAATTGTAAGCAGCCAGCCCACTTCATAATAACGCGCACAATAGTTGCTCATCCCT